AAAGGCTCCTCGTCCCTGGGGGCGAGCGTGCGGGGGGGGGAGGCGGGTTTCCTATTGCAGCTCAGAGAGATGAAAGTCCCCCCCCCCCATGTGAGAGGTGCGACTGACCCTCCCGCTCCCTGGGGAGAGAACCCAGGAGTCCTGGCCCCCCTGATTTGTGGCTAGATCCCAGCACCTACTTCCAAGACCTGCCACTTGAGACCCCACGATTGTTCCCTGCCAGCTCAGAACCCAGGCATCCGGGCCCCCCCAGAACCCGAGCGTCCAGCTGCTCCAGAACCTGAGCGACTACTGCCCCCTGGAACCCAGGTGTCCAGCCCCCCCCCCCGGAACCCCAGCAGCTGGACCCCGGAACCCAGGCATCCGGGCCAGCTCAGAACCCAGGCATCCAACTCCCCATCCCGGGAACCCAGGCATCCGGGCCGCCCCCCCCAGAACCCAGGCATCCAACTCCCCATCCTGGGAACCCAGGCATCCAGGCCACCTCGGAGCCCCGCATCCGCTCCCCATTCCCCGCAGAACCCTGGTGTCCGGGCACCTCACCTCGGCACTGCGTGTTCCCCTCGGCGGCCTCGTGCCCGGCCAGGCAGACGCAGCCGGCGGGCGCGTGCTCGGCCCAGCGCCCGTCCTCCCGACAGTACATGCTGAGGGGCCCGGGCCCCTCTGGCTCGGCCCCGGCCACGCAGGCGCCGGCCACGGGCGTCACCAGCTCCCGGGGCACCGTCTCCGGGAAGGCGGCCAGGCGGGCCACGGCCCCCGGGCACTTCTGGAAGTAGAGCCGGACGCCCAGCAGGGCCATGCAGGCGCCCTGGTCCTGGAAGGCCACGTAGAAGCCGGCTTTGGTGAGCGGCCCCAGCCGCAGGGTCTTGACATTCACTTTCCCTGTGGCCTCGGCCCCCGGGCGTTTGCGGGTCAGGTGCTCGGCCGCCACCGTGTCCACTTTGACCCAGGGGTTCTCCAGCCAGGGCGGGTCGGTGGCCGTGGCCAGGTCCCGCTCGGCCTCGTAGAAGAAGACATTGAAGGTCTCCTTGCAGGCCCGGGCCGGGCGCGGGAGGGAGAAACACTCCACCACCGTGTAGCGCAGCTCGGCGTAGACGTGGGCTGCCCCCCGGCGCGGCACGAAACCACTGCGCAGCCAAGCCTCCCGGCCCGGCCCCTCCACCGCGCACACCTCGAACGTGCGCACCGAGTGCTGGCGTTCCTCGTCCAGCCCACTCAGCTCCTCCCACTGCCGGGGGGCACGGGGGGGGGCAGGGAAAGGAGGGGTGCAAAGAAGGGTGGGAGAAAGAAAGGATGGAGAGAGGGGAAAGACGGGGTGCAGGGGGAGATGGGGTTCAGGGGGCAGAGAGCAGGGAATTTGGAGATGGGGATACGGGGAGATGGGGGATGGGGTGCAGGGGGAGATGGGGTGCAGGGGCGTAGGAGAGATGGGAGATGGGGTGCAGGGGAGGAGACGGAGCAGAGAGGGACAGGGATGGGGGCCAGGGAAAGAGGGGTGCAGGAAAA